AATATACACTAGAATATATATTCGATTCGGCGTCCAATAAGCGTGTATATATTGTAGTGTATTTTCGGCGGATAGACAGCGTATAAACATATTAGCCGTTTCTCTTGGGGTACTTTTGATTATTTTTTGTGAATTTTCTTGAAATTAAGGCAGTAAAAATATAATAATAAAAATAAAGTGAAATATCGGTCACTTTAACTAAAACTTCGACAATTTTGTATGGGAGGTACCCGTAAACCGATTCTTATTGGCTTTAAACTTTCTGAGGTTTCATTTTTTGGAGAAAAAAAGAGATTCTGAAAGTTTCATGTTGATTGCATTTGTAGAAGTTTGGTTTTTGGCCCTCAAATTTTTCCAAGAAAATGTCGGCCGAAATTGAGGACAAAAAATCAAACTTCTGCAAATGCGATCAACATGAAACTTTCGGAATCTTATTTTTTCTCCAAAAAATGAAACCTCAGAAAGTTTGAAGCCAATCAGAATCGATTAACGGGTACCTCCCATACAAAATTGTCCAAAAATCGGTAATTTTAGTCAAAATTTCAAAAAAATTGTATGGGAGGTACCCGTAAATCGATTCCGATTGGTTTCAAACTTTCAGAATCTTATTTTTTTCCCAAAAAATGAAATCTCAGAAAGTTTGGAGCCAATCAGAGTCGATTTACGGGTACCTCCCATACAAAAGTGTCAATTTTTTGAGGTTTTTCTTAGGGCAAGTACCCCTGGATCAAATCGAAAATGGCTCATCTTCGAACTTAAACTAAGTTTTTTGGATACAAAACTTTTGGCATTTCCAGATTTTGATTATCTCAATTATTTTTTGAGTTATCGTGTTTACAAACAGCTACGACAACGACGACAACGACGACAACGACGACAACGACGACAACGACGACAACGACGACGGCACACGAACGGAAAAGTGTCTCAAAAAGTGGTTTTCTACGCGTTTCATGAGTTTTTATGATGATCTAAGCTAATTTTGCGAAAAAAGTTTTCGGGACCAATTCCTATACTTTCCCTTTACACGTTGTGTACGGAAAAGTAATATGATTATTAATAAATAATGGAATATAATTATTCCTCAAGACAGTTTCATTTTATTTTATTCTAAAAGAGAAAGTTTTGTCATTTTCTACATTTGTTTCTACTTGAAAATAGTTTGTATTGTCATGATAGAACATTGCGAGAATATTGAATGAAAAATATTGCTTGTTGAAAAAACTTGAATTTAATCGAGATTCTTGCTATTAAATTCTGTTGAATTCAAGTATCCAAATTAATCCTCTCATTGCTTCATCACTTTCTTCGTTCGAACGATGGGATTTTACAATGGTTCCAGGTTCAATTTCCACTTCGGATGTCAATGAAAAACGAGTGCAACAATTTTCCGGTGGATCTTGTTTCATTCTAATTTCATATACAAATCCGGGCTTGATTGGTATCGGTTGCGGTAGTTGTATGCGTGTATCGGTATGGTTATCCAAATTTGCCTTGCCATTATATACGACGACTTTTTCGCCTGAAGTTGTCGATTCAAAGATTTCAGTAATCGTGATTTCCGTTGGAATTTTCACCGTGTAATGATATCCATTATAATTCCACTCTGATAATTCTTCACAAATGATTGCACACAACAATATAGCTCTGTCCGTTGAAAAAGTGGTCGTTTCAATGTTTTTGATGAAATACGGACTTTTCGTTTTCCAAATCCTTCGATCGCATGTAATCACAGCATTTTTATTCCATTTTGGACTGTATCCAAACAATGTTTTACGATGTTCACTGAATATTTTCGGTTGAAAGTTTGTGGAAGCGATCATTTGAATTATCTCTCTATGTCCTTCGTATGTCAATAGCCCTTCGTATGAACGATCGAATTCGGCGAAATCCTTGAGTAACATCGATCCAAACGGAATTTCGTAAAACAAATCACCAAGATAATCTTGAATAATTTTCCTCTTCAAATGTTCCTGTTTGCTGGCAGATTTCAACCATGACATATATTCTTCAATCAATTCAGCTCCCGTGCAGAACAATAAATTCAACTTCAAAATATGCCTCAACACTTTTCGATCGCAGTCCAGAAAACTAGCTGATGCAAACACTTCACTCGCGTGATTTTTTATGTTTTCTTCACAAAATTCCATTAAATCTTTTTCATTTAAATGTATTGTAATTCCATAGCCCCAGCACATTATCTCATTAGTAAGAGTATATTTTAGGAAATCTTGACACACTTTTAAACACTCCGCCACATTGTACTTTTCGCCTAAGTTCATGACTTGTGCCACGTTTTCCATCGACACTTTTACTCGTTCCAAGTAGGAAAATTGCAAAAATTCCCTGAATGCAGATGGTAAAGCGTCGACTATCTTAACTTCCTTTGTTTCCTCCCATGTTCCATTGAACATTATTCCGAAAACATCGCTTGCGGTGGCTAAGAAGTTCTTATGCGCAGGAATTCGCTCGAATAGACCATCATCTGATTCAAACACGAAATGAAAGTCAGCCATCTCTTCGTTTAAGTAGAGCTTTTCGCCAATCGTCAACACGACTTTAAAGGTGTATTCTTTGGATGCTGAGGCGATAGTTGCCATGGTTGAGTTTACGTGTTAGGGATCAATTGTGAGGTAGTTTGGTGGGTCAATTGCGAGGTAGTTTGTTGCGTGATGGTTTTTTTTTTCTAAAATGCTGCAATTTGGAATTGGAAAAGAAAGCATGAATCTTTTATAGAATATCGATTCGCATGATATTTACTCAAAATGTAAATGAACTTCGGACTCAAGATGCGTTGCTAGATATGTAACTACCGTATGGTAGGTAGTGTTGACTTTTGAGCAAGCAATAACACCTTTCAACTGTATTCTTTCAACTGATTGATTCACAATACCTGCGGTGCGATTTAATTGGAGATTTGAAGCCTAAAATAAGACAATCAATAAAAACTATTTCATTTTTCATCGCAACATTCAAAGAATTAGTATTAGCATTGAAAAAACCACTTTTGATCACCTAAAAAAGTATTAGGTGCACAAGGCAAATGCTAGATCCCTAGCGCCATCTATTGATTTTTGTAGAAATCATTAAAAGAACTGAGCTTCA